AAAGCAAGGAAGCAGTTAGATCTATCTGGGATGGGGCAGAATAGAGAAAATTTGATTCAAGAAGGGTTTCATAAAGGAGATGGTGTTGTAAATGAATTGGTTTTCCAAGCAGAAGGAGCTTCTTTGCAAAGGAAGGGAGGCCTGAATAGGAAGTTGATGAAAGCACAGGCATAGTCTTTGAGGACTAAATAGATGAGACTGGAGATTAGTGTATCTACAAAGAGAGGGTTATCTTATGAAATGCTGTTTGGTTTGGACTTTACCCTATAGACTGTCACATACCCTTGAGAAGTACAGTGATATCAGATTTGTGTTTTAGAAAAATAAGTGACAGCACTATTAGGTCCTATTTTTGAGAAAGTCAAGTCATAAGACAAAAGGTCTGAACTAAGATGAGTAACAGTGGGGATGGAGAATAGACAACATTATGAGAAATATTAAGGAGAAAGAACAGATAGAATTTGAAAGAAATAGGGTTCTTAAAAAAAAAATCAGTGACTCCTTAGTTTTCTAGATGGAATGTCTGGGCGAATGGAGAGGCTATAAAATGAGAGGTGGATTAGTATGAATTTGGAAGTGATCCAGAGGAGTCTGTTGAATGGAGCAGATGAAGAATCACATCAAACTGGAGCTTACTACAGATATCTGTGCTAAATATAAAGGTCTAGAAGACATCAGAGGATGGAATCTGTTAAGTAGATTAATTGTGCTTCAAGAATGTTATATAGTGAGAAGATGTTGATGGACAGATCTAAGAATGCTGCCTTCCCCTAAGATTACTATGAAATTCCTAATGGGGCTATAATTGCTTCCCTGACTAAACTGTTAGCTTTATGTGAGTAGAGATAATATCGTATTCATCTTATTATTGCCTCTGCATCCATCATACTTTCCATATAGGAACTTTTATTAGATATTAGTTGAAATAATTAAATACAATATTGAGAATAATTTTTATTTGTGATATATTTATAGGAAGTACAAAAGAAGTCTTTTGAAGAGAAATATGAAATTTTCATGAATATTTGCCAAAATTTTAAACCAGTTTTCCGTTACTTCTGCATGGAAAAGTTTTTGGACCCGGCTGTTTGGTTTGAGAGACGACTGGCTTACACTCGCAGTGTGGCTACTTCTTCTATTGGTAATTTTAGTGTACATTTGGTACAGTTCAGTGCTTTTTGTATTCTGAGTTGCAGGGAGGTGATGGTGGTCTAGTTAAGCAGATTTCATGACTAGATCATGGTATTTGCTGTTCATCCTAATATTTAGCTTCTAACTGTAGCTCTTCTTAGATTTTATAGGAGAGAATTCTACTTCAGGGTAGGAAAATATGGGTTCTTCTTCGTTTAGTAATGAAGATGTCTTATTGAAGGAAGATATCTTCCCTATATATATTACTTTTTGGGATTTTCTTTAGAAAATAATAAAACCCATGCTAACTCTGTTTATTTCCTTTACTTGAACAGAACATCTGTTAATACTGTAGTAGATTCTGTTCTGTGGAATAAAATCATGAATATTCAGTTGTATTTAAGTATTCAATGTACAACATATATCACACACACACCCCCCCCTTTTTTTTTTTAATTCCTAGGAGGTTAGATAGTTAGATGGGACAACTAACAAAAAACTAGAGAATAAGAACTAACAGGAACCTTAGAGAAATTTTCGCTTATTTAGTGTCCAACTAAAAATAGGCCTCCCTCCATCACAGGGACCATACCCCAGGAAAGTAGAGTGTTTTAAAAGATTCTTGGGCAATTATGAAATTTTTTTTACATTGAGAATCACTACTCTGATTCACCAAATTTCATTTATAAACCAGAAAGTAGACCAGTTAGTCAGATACCCAGGCATTCTGCTCCTAGTCTGTGTGTTTCTCCTTCCTTTTATTAAAGGCATTTCAAAGGATCATTGTCTGTCTTAAAAAATGGAAATACATGTTTTCCTGGAAAAATACCTGAGAAATGGAATTAATGATAAATACAGTTCATCAAGCAGAGGAAATTATTCACTAATGAGTGATGAATTTACCCATAGGCTTCCTTCCATTCAAGAGTATACTCAATAGAAGTTTTCATTCTTATAATGCTCAAAGTACTAGTGTATACATATGTGTGTGTGTGTGTGTATGTGTATAAATATATAGATATATATACTCTTTTTTTCTTTTTTAAAGATTTATTTGTGCATACAGAATTGGGGTACAGGCCAGAGTTGCAGGAGAGGATTCATGAGGTGAATCCATGAGAGGATTCACCAGAGACAGAGTGGGGAGCAGAACAGGCAGAGTGACAAAGTACATTGATGAGGGGAGCAGCAGGCGGGTCAGGAGAGGTCTGCCATGCCATGTGGATCACCTCCGGGGCAGGGATTGAACTCATGCTGAAGTAGCTTTAGCTTCTTAGTGCTGTGATTTAGCCCACTGTGCCAGCAGGGTGGGCCACTAATATTTTTTAGGGGCTTATTAGTAAAGGGAGAATTAAAAAAAATTTTGGTGCTCTTTTTTACATTATTAATTTCTGGACAATATTTCTTTCCTCGTGTGTGGTCATTGTAGTGAATGGGCGAATTTTTTGAGCAATTAGCTAAGATTATTAAAATGTAGTGTACATGAAAATAACCAACACGATTTGTCTTAAACACAGAATGTCTAGTTATATATTTGCTTTCCTTTAAGTAGCCTTAAATATTTAAAATTATATACAGTAGTGTTTTTAGTTGAAATTATGGCTAAATATGTTCTAGAAATAGATAAACTCAGTGATTTGGAGTTGTTCTTTTTTCCAGTTGGCTACATACTTGGGCTGGGTGATAGACATGTGCAGAATATTTTGATAAATGAACAGTCAGCGGAACTTGTACATATAGATTTAGGTAAGTAATGAAAGATAGGTATCTTCATTCTACTTAATTAATATTTGGCTTGAAATATTGCTTACTTACCAGAATATTACAAGTGTGATATAGATACATCAAAGCACTGAATATTGTTTCTAAGGAAAGCACAGAAACAGTGAAGCTGGAGGGAGTAACTAACTCTGCCTGGGATCATGGGTCACACTTACCAGAAGAGGTGACATTTGTGCCAGGTCTACATAAATGATGGGTAGTTGAAATAGGAGACAGAGCAGATATATGAGGAGGAATAATGAAGACAGAGCAAGTTACAAGAAATGTTAGACACTAACTGTGGTAGGAGTAAAGTTTCATGTAGTTGAGAAGTTTGTAGATAATTGCTGTCTGTAACTGTAAAAAGCCAGGCTAAGAGTTTCAACTTTCATCTCTTAAAAAATCAGAATTAACTGAAGCTTTGATATCTGGGATGACCTGTATAGTTTTCTGTTTGTAGCTTTTTGGTTATTTGTTACTGTATAACAAGCTACCCCATATGTAGTAGCTTAAAACCATTATTATTATCTTATGGCCTATGAGTTTGACTGGGATCAGCAGGGAAGTTCTCAAGTAGGATCCCTTCATGCAGTTGCAGTCAGCATTGGAATCTGGAGTTCTCGGAAAACTCAGCTGGAGTTTTCAAATACTAAAATAAATGTTGATGTCTCAATGTTCATGAATGTGATCTCTCTATCTAGCAATCATCTGGACTTCTTACTTAGCATGTAAGGCCTCCAACCATCATAAAAATGCTTTAAGGCATGCTTGAAATGAAAATATGGTATGTGTTAGCATAAAAATAGAAATATAAAAGACAACTAAGTGAAAATTTTGGAACAGAAAAATGCAATAATTAAAATTTGCAACTCAGTGGATAGGATCAACAGCAGAATGAGGGAACAGAAATCAGAAGAGTAGAAATTTTTCAAACTGAAAAACAGCTAAAAATACATGAAAATCTTTAGCATCTAGGGCTAGACAATTTTCAGTCTTAACTCTAAAAGTACAGCCCATAGAACTCTCAAAACTCAACAGTAAAAAAACACAAACAATCCAGATAGTAATGAGCAAAATGCCCGAATAGACATTTCTACCTACTACTATTTATTTTTGAATATCATCTCTTAATCTAGAATTCTGTGATAATCTCAAAATTTAAATATCTGAAATTAGTAGTAGATTTCCTAGACAATGGTGGTAATAATGAAGACAGGCAGAAGAGAAACAGAATAAACTACTGTGTGTTTCAGTATTGATAGACTACAGGTGCCAAATGAATTTTGCATCTCTTAAGTATCACTTTGGAGGAAAGTAATTAGCTGTGAAACTTGATATTACTATATTTTTTACTTTAGGAGTTGCTTTTGAACAAGGTAAAATCCTTCCTACTCCTGAGACAGTCCCTTTTAGACTCACCCGAGATATTGTGGATGGGATGGGCATTACTGGTGTTGAAGGTGTTTTCAGAAGGTGAGTGATAAATATAAGGTAAGGTAGGACAGATGATTTATGGTGTCAAAGTTATTTGGGTTATGGATTTTTCTAGATTACAGAATTCATTACTAGAATTATATTCCAGTGCTTTATGAGTACTTAAAAAAGATCCTTGGTAGAAGGGGTATTAATTTCTATCCCTTCAGGCCAAGTAGAACCTCAACAATATAACATACACAAAGCTACTCTAACCTACTCTGTAACAGCCCACTTTCTGTTTACTGATCCAGGCTCCTGACGGGTACTTATTGTTGAGGATACAAACTATTTAAGGGGCTTATGATCTAGTAAAAATTTCAACAAAAGGAACTTACAGTTGCCTATAGTTTTCTCAGCACTTTTAATGAAGTAAACTAATAATTAACCACATAATCAACAACTAAAAGATTTTTTTATAGTAGTAGTGGTTATTTTTATAAATAAGATTATATTCAGACATATATTTTATATTTCAGAAATAGCTACTGAAAACCCACTCTGCCAAGTGCTATCCTCTTTGAAATGTTAATTTGAGAATGACTAACAAACAGTCTCAGCAGATTACATATGAATAAATATATTAGGTAAAGACAGGTTGAAAATGTTGATGTAAAACAAACTCATATCTATAATGTGTTTGACTGTAGATGCTGTGAGAAAACTATGGAAGTTATGAGAAATTCTCAGGAAACTCTGTTAACCATTGTAGAGGTAAAGTATAAAGACATTTTTTATTTTTCTAGCTATTATAGATTGAGTTTCTTGTTACACCATCACCAGTTTGAGGATCTATGTTTCATTTTAATGTGATAATTCTGGACAGCAGAAGCAGGATACACATCAGTGATTAGTGGTTTAGAAGTACCTTGAGCCCCTCAGTTTCTTGAAATGTTACAGCATTATATATTGGCTTTTAATACATGAATCAATACTTTCATACCTTAGATATCTTGCATAGTATGTTTTCAGAATGGTTTCCAGTTGGGATCATAAACCAGTAAATTGTAGCTCCTTTTCTCCTGCCCAGATTCAGAAGCATTTAGTCAGACACATGGAGATCCAGTGTCAGCAGGCACGAACATGGCAGGAGTGAGGTCAAATTGCAGGCACGCATTCAGTGCCCCTCTGCCATTTTAAATCTGGGACAGCCTGCCGAATAAGGGTTTGGGCCTGCAGAGCAAACAAACACTTGTAATCACACCATGGTCTCATGTAATCAAGGTGTAAAGGAAAAGCAGTCACACACATTTGTAGTGGTTGTTTTACTAGCTTTACTCAAGTGAGAAGTGAGGAAAAAGGACTGTTCCTAAATACATTTTATGAAGCCAACATAGTTCTTTTCTCAAAAACCAATAAGGACAAAAAGAGAAAGCAACAGACCATATTCTTAGTAAAAACAGATACCACAATCCTCAACAAACAGCAGACTGAATTTAGCAATACATCAGAGGGATTCATACATCATGACCAATTGGGCTTTTTTCCTGGGTTACAAAGGTGGCTCAATAGATGCAAATCAGTCCGTGTAATTCATTTCAACAAAAGGAAAGACAAAAATCATATGATCATATCAATAGATCCAGGGGAGTATTTGAAAATACTAAATATTCACTTATGCTAAAAACTCTTGGTAAATGGAAAGTAAATAAATAGAAGGAATGTACCTCAACATAATATATGTCATATATGACAAGCCCACAGCTAGGATCATATCCAGTGGTGAAAAATTGAAAGTGTTCCCTTTAAGGTTAGCTACTAGTATCATCAAAAAGTATTAAATACTTAAGTAATAAACCTAACAAAGGTGGTGAAAGATCTATTTAATGAAAAAGGACATTGCTAAAAGAAATAGGTGACTCAAAGAGATGGAAAGATATCCCTTGCTCATGTTTTGGAAGGTTAACATTGTTAAAATGTCTATGTTACTCAAAGCAGTCTCTCAAAATTTTAATATAATTCTTCAAAGAAATAGAGCAACTATTATGAAATTTCATATGGAATCACAAAAGACCCTAAACAGCTAAAACTATCTTGGCAAAATAAAAGGAGGAGTGGAAGTATCACCTTCCCAGACTTAAACTAGACTACATAGTAATCAAAATAGCATGGTTTTGGGATAAAATAGACACACTGAACAATGTATGTCTATTTTCTAGAATTTAGAGTCCAGAAACAAACCAACATTTATATGGACAGTGAAACTGCAAACAGAGGAGTCACAAAAAGAGGAAAGTCTCTTCAACAAATGGTGTTGGGAAAATTGACAGTGTTAAGCATATAAAAGAAAGAAAAGAAACTAGACCACTTCTCATACCATACACAAAATGGATTAAAAATTTGGATGTAAGACCAGAAACCATAAAATACATAGAAGAAAACATATGCAAAACAAACTGTAACGTTGTCTTCAGTGATATCTTTGGGAACTTTGACTTCAATGGCAAGGAATATAAAAGCAAAGTAGTTTTGTGTATCCAAAGAAACTCATAAAGATGAAAAGAAATCCTGCCGAAGACCTAAAAAGAATTCATATAATTCAACAATTAGAAAATAAAAGACCCAATCAAAAAAAATGGGCAGAAGTACTAAATTGACACTTCTCTAAAGAAGACAGATAACAGACATATAAAAAAATGTTCAATATCATTTATCATCAGGGAAAAGCAAACGAAAACTCTAATGAGATAACCCATCTTACTCCTGTGAGAATGGCCCATATCAAGACAAATGCACACTGTTCTTCTAATACAAGTTCTCTCTATTTAGGTCCTCCTTTATGATCCTCTCTTTGATTGGACCATGAATCCTTTGAAAGCTTTATATTTACAGCAGAGGCCAGAAGATGAGACTGAGCTTCACTCGACTCCCAATGCAGATGACCCAGAGTGCAAAGGCAATCTCAGGTGAGCAGTGTTATTTTAGGAAGGACCTAGTGATGTTTGTCCATAGTTTTTATTCTCAAGGCCCTTTAAAACTGCCCCAACTTTTAAACACTTGTGTTTCTGTCTTTAGTGATATTGACCAGAGTTTCAACAAAGTGGCTGAACGTGTCTTGATGAGACTGCAAGAGAAACTGAAAGGAGTGGAGGAGGGAACCGTGCTCAGTGTAGGTGGACAGGTGAATTTGCTCATACAACAGGCCATGGACCCCAAAAATCTCAGCCGGCTCTTCCCAGGATGGAAGGCTTGGGTGTGAGCTTCAGCATATAAATTACCCTTGAATTTCAACGTTAAAAATTCTGTTTTGGCTTTCATCTTTAATCCACCCATATGCTTTGAATATGTATTAATATTTAGTGGTTGTATTTTAAAAAAATGATTAATACTTGCTTTGACAGTCTTGAGAATGTCTTCTCTCACATTTCAAAACTATTGTCATTCATGTTTTACCTCTGGGCTAAATATTTTTTTCTCCTTAAGTCCATGCTTGTGTCATTTTCAGTTGAATCACTAACTTGATGCATTAGCTGGAAATAGAAGCAACAGAAGTATAAGATACCACTGTTACTTTCTTTCAGGATGAACACATAAATATACCGTTAGTCTTGGGGTGGCTTTTAACTTAAACTTACTTGCCACATCATAAAAGTGATAAATTATTTGATATTAAAATGGAAAAGGAAGAAATGAACTTTAAAAATTATAGTCATCAATATAGATATTACATTACTTATGCTAAAACTACATTAAAAAAAGAAGTGTTAAAAATAAAAGTAGTATTTTAAAAATACGATTTTCTTTTTCTAATATTTATGCATGCATACAGAACTGGGATACAGGCCAGAGGTGTGGGGGTTGAGAGAATTCACCAGAGTCAGAGTAGGGAGCAGAACAGGCAGATCAATGAAGTATACTGCTGAGGGGAGCAGCGGGTGGACACCGCTATGTGGATCACCTCCAGGGCTGGGGATCGAACTCACATTGAAGTGGCTGCCTAGCATACTGTGCTGCAAACTAACCTGTTGCGCCACTAGGGAAGGCCAAAAAAAAATACAATTTTAATAGGAAGATCATTTAGTGTTGCTGAGTAATAAAGGTGTTACAGAGAATAAATTTCAAAGGCCTGATGTGGTTACCATTTTTGTAATGTATAATGAAGCTACTCTGTTTTCTCTGTATTTTCATTTATTTTATCATTTGTGATGCCCTTTGTTCATAAATGTTCATATCAATTTTATGATCTGCTTACTGTTTCTCTTTTCAAAACTTTCCAGCTCTGCTACTGTATGTTTTATGGCGTCTATAATCTTTTTTAACTTTTCATTTCACGTCTAAACATTTTAAAATGTTTAATGGTTCTATTAGATCAACTTCTGCTTATCCATGTATTTGGTCGTTGTAAAAGGTGAGCTTATTTTGAGAGGAATCGTGAGTACCAGAATTAAGAATAATTCCTCCCAAAAAAAGCTTTGTGTCCCATGTTGTCAGAGTCCTGAGGCTATCACTGACAGAGGACTATTCTCATTTTAATGTTTTGTCATCAGGATTTTCCAGACCTTAAGAATAAGTATAAAGTGCTGCAACAAATTCCCAGGCCAAGACGTCTTCATTATTTCTTATGCTAGTGAGGTAATGTTCTAGTGACTCCCCTTTCCTAAGGGTGTGAGGCTCCCTGGATCCTGTCCCAATTCTTTGTGGTGAGTGTGAGGAGAGGTGTGTTGAATTCCTAGCTTCTGTCTTTTGGAAATTCAAGGTTTTGTGACTCCCCAGCTAGTAGTTAAAGCTGAAACTCTTTAAGTAAATAAGATTGGCACATTCTGTCAGGACAGCTAGAATTGTCCTGTCATATTTGCCCCTTTGACTTTCAGGTCTTTTCTTTCTTTCTTTTTTTTTTTAAGATTTATTTATTTATTCATATAGAACTGGGGTACAGGCCAGAGATGCGGAGGGTGAGAGGATTCACCAGAGACAGAGTGGGGAGCAGAACAGGCATATTGACGAAGTACACTGCTGAGGGGAGCAGCGGGCGGGTCAGGAGAGGTCTGCCTCGCCATGTGGACTCCTCCGGGGCAGGCGGGAATCGAACTCATGAGGAAGTGGCTTAAGCTTCCTAGTGCAGTGCTTTAACTCGCTGCGCCACCAGGGAGGGCCTCTTTTCTTTTTTAACCTTTATTTTCTTGGAAGTTCTGCTGTGTGTTTAAGACTGTTTCTTGCATGTCACCTAGCATTTGTGTCACTAATATATTCTTAACCTTGAATATAATATAACCTTTGCAAGATTAGTAATGCTATCCCAGTTTAAAGCTGAAGAAAATGATGTTTAGAAAAGAAGTTTATTTTTCTAAGGCCAAAATATATTAAGCGGAAAGTACAGACTCAGTCTGGGTAATCTCTAAACACAAAACATTTTTATGTTTTGTTTGATAATAGAGTTTGATATGTAGCAGGAAAAGCAAATCTTTTCTATCCTATTGGTGTATGTATTTCCCACTTTTTTTTTTAAATGAAGAAAATTGTGAAGGGTTTTTTGTTTTTCTTTTTACTGCCAGTGACAAACACTCATATCTAATTTCTCCATTTGTGACCCCCTCAAAAGACAATCTCCAGAATTTTTTGGACTGTAAATTTCTTGGTTTCTAGAGAATTGTTCTTAAAATTAATTTGCATTTCAAATACAAACTTTACATATAATTTAACTGCCTAAATAAATATTTGGTATCTATTGCTAATTTTATTTATTACTTTAGTAAGCTAAAGATTGATAAACTTAGAATTTCTTTATTTAGATATAGCTTTGAAATCTTCAGAAATGGAGATAAAAATAATGTAAGTGAATGAATTTGTAACTGTTTTTGGCTTAGGTATACAGTGTTGAATAGCATCATTAATATATTCTTAACCTTGAATGATATGCCACAAGGCTCCTTTCCTATTCAAATATTATTATTAATGGCTTTGTAAAGTTTACCAAATTTACAGATGATAAACCTAGGAGAAATAGCTAATTCAAGGATAAAATTTTCTAGAACACTAACTAGACATGAATAAGACACACATTTGTTAGGAGTAGTTAGATTTTTAAAACATCAAGCCTAGAATATTTGTTGTGTTCTGAAGACCACACATATATGTAACATCTCTAATCTTTGCAAGATTAGTAATGTTATCCCAGTTTAAAGCTGGAGAAAATGATGCGTAGAAAACAAGTTAATTTTCTAAGACAAGAATGTAGTAATTGAAAATACAGACTTAATCTGGATAATCCCTTACCTTAAAAAAACTTCAGGTAAAAGAATCTAGGGTTCATGCATCAGCTCACTAGGTAAAGTGGAAACCAAGTAGAAAAGCTACTCAGTGAGACTGTTTGAACAGTTGTGCACAGATTAAAGGACATAGTAGTTCTCTCATCATTCTCCATATTGGGCATCCCATTTCAAACTCTAGTCAGTGGGTACACAATGCATGGTTATTAAAGTACATGAACCTTGAAATGCTAGACTTAGATATGATTTAAAGCAAATAAAAGCAGAGAAAAAACTGTGGACTTCTTAAAGATTTAAAATAGGCTTATGTTTTAAATGACAAAGTCAATATATTGGCTTGAATTAAGAGATGTATGCCAATTTAGGTATTTTAATTGTATCTTAATGAAATTATATGTTTTATGTAGATTTATTTCAATACTATTGAATGTATTTCTTTATTATACTGTTAACAGAATTCTGTTACATTGTAACTATTTTTGAATAAATAATTTTAAGAGAAAATGTGTTAAGACTTATTCCTTTAATTCAAATAAATGAGTGTTTTGTGTAACAGAAATGGAGCTAGTTCCTAAGGAGACAGCAGTGAGCAAAGCAAGCATAGCTGGCTATTACGGAGCTCACAGTCTGAACCAGACAGGCAGCTTGTAAGGTATAATAGCTGGGAAGCCTGCATCAAGATATTCAGCCAGGTATGCTGCAACTCGGTCTAAGTAGGTTCCGTCTAAATATGCCAAAGTTTGTCTTAATTACCCAATGACAAAAAGACAAAGAAGTGTTTGAGATGCAGCTGATCTATTGGATAGTGATCTATTGGATATGTCTAAAGTCTAAGATGTTTGACTGGAATGTTATAAATAGGTATTCACATATTTATCTTTTTCTAAATAAATAGTTTTCTCCATAGTTTCAGCATCTTTGGTCCAGTTTCTGAAAAAGTTGTTTTGTATAAGTACAGTGAAGTAAAAGTTTTCACACAGATTAGATTCAGAATTTGGTAAGGTAAAAAAAAAGTCTCACATAATGAACACTTAACTCAGAAATCCCTTACTTTAACCATGAAGTACAGCATGCACGATTTTTTAATGTACAGCAAGGTGTAAAAGTGTATGTATAGTGTATGATTTTAAAGAAGACATCCTTAAGTAAGGGTGATTTTGCTTCACTATCCTTATTGCTAGAGCAAGAATTTGGCAATGTCTCAAAGCATATGAGAACATAGAGTATTTGCATGTACTGTTAAATGTTAAACTCAATTTCCAGAGTAAGACAAACATGTAGTGAGGAATGTTTATTGTGGGTTCCTATGAGCTGATCACTTTTGGGCAACTGTGAGCTATTTGCTATCTGCAAATTACAACAAAGCATGTCTGCTCTTACAAATAAGAGAATTATTTTATGAGGGAAAAATGAATAGTCAGCGGGTTGGAGATTTTTTTTGAATCACTGCAGTGTAAATCAACACAGGCAAGTGGACTTAATGGGCATTGCTAATGCATTCATAAGAGAAAAAATACTGAAAATAATTCTGATGAGACACCTTCTCAGGAAGAAATGCTATACAAACTCTTCCCAACATAAGAAGGTTTATTTTACGAGGCCAGTGTTACTCTTACATCAAAATAAAAAATTAAGAAAACAATGCCAATACCTTTCATGAACATAGAGATAAAAGTCTTCACAAATATTAGAAAATTAATTCCATCAGTATAAAGGAGATAATGTATCAGACCAAATGGCATTATACCAGTAATGCCAGATTGATTTAATACTTGGAAATCAATCAATGCTGATAAATTAACAAAAATCTTAATGATGTCAATCGATGCAGTAAGACCATGTGACAAATTAATACTCATTTATTATAAAACTCATCAAGCTAGGAATACAGGAACAGCTTCAATTTGATAAAGCTTGTCTGAAAATCTTAGAGCTCACAGTGTACTTATGGTGAAAGGGTAAAATTTACTCCTAAGATAAAGAACAAGGCAAAGATGCCTCCCTCAGCAGTTTTACTAAACATGATATTAAAGTTTCTAGCAATTACAACAAGCAAATAGAAATAAAAGGCCTTGATTTGAAAAGGAAGAAGTATAATTATCTACATTAGAAGACAACATGATCATCTCTGTAGAAGATCCTAATAGTTCTCCAAATTAATAAAAAAAAGGTGCAGTATTAAAAAATAACCAGCTTACATGATAATGGTCAATTTATGAAACATCACAGTATTTCTATATAACAATGTTAAAGTTAGACCTAGAATAGAGTTGCTTATACAAAGCCCCAAATCAGCAAACTGAAATTTAATATTTTATACACTTCTCTCCTGGAAAAGAAAGTCCTAGGCCAACCAATCAGTGCTTGCCTGCTCAATAACAAGCTCAAAAACTTCCCTTTGCTCTATATACAAAAGTAACCATGTTTTACTGAGTCAGCAAATACCCAGTGTAAATTCATGTTCTAACTTACTTTGGTCTATGAAACCCTTTTGTACAATTTTTGGAAGTGCCTTACTAATTTTTAGACAAAATGTTTTTTGATTCATAAAATATTAAATAAAAGCCAACTAGATTGTGAAGTTTCTGAATTTTTTATTACCAGCAATGAACAATTTGGAGTAGAACATAAACAACATGAAATAGTTGTCATAATTTTGATGAAATGCATGCAATAACTATACACTGCAATATATAAAACATTTGAGAAACCAAGAGCCTAAATATAGAGAGAGATGTATAATGTTGATGGATTGGGAGTCAATATTGTTTAGCTATGTAGTATCAGTGTAATCTCAGTTAAAATCCCTCAATGCTTCCTCCCTCCCCCATCATTGACAAACAAAATTTGTATGAAATGCAAAAGGACTAAAATAGCATTTCTATAAAAATAAGACAGAAAGATCATCGGAGCATAATTGGAACCCAGAAATAAACCCACATATGGTTAATTGAAATTCAACAAAGGATAAAGAGAAAAAAGTGGTACTTAGGGCCCTCCCTGGTGGTGCAAGAGGTTAAAACACAACACTAAGAAGCTGTCTGCAGCCACTGCAGCATGAGTTTGATCCCTAACCAGGGAGCTAACACATATGGGATGTGTTAGAGATGGCAGACCTCTCCTGACTTGCCCACTGCTCCCCTCAGCAGTATATTTCAGTCAATCTGCCTGTTCTGCTCCCCACTCTGTCTCTAGTGAATCCTCTTACCACCTCACCTCCTCATGCCTCTGGCTTGTACCCCAGTTATTGTATGCATAGATAAATAAACCTCTGAAAAAAAAAAAGTGGTGCAGAACTTTATGCAAAAAAAAAAAAAAAAAGAATCTCAAATCTCCCTATGAAATACAACAATTAGCCTATAACTAAATGTGAAAGTTAAGATTATGAAATTTGTATAAGAAGTCCTTTATAATTTTGATTTACGTGAAGAATTCCTAGATTAAACACTAAAAGCATGAACCATGGAAATGAAGGTCAGTTAACCTATTGGTCATCTAGTGCTTATTCAGTTAATCCATAAACAAAATATAAGGACTGGGTAGAAACTATGGGTTCAGAAATGATGGGACCCTTCTTACAAAAACTAATCTAGCTACTTCAGCTGCTATTAGCATTAAAGAATGACCCAGACTCATCACTACAATAGAATAGTCAGTCATTTGGTGGTAAAAATGGTTACATCAGGTCCAGTCTGTCTCTCCTTGAGTGTGAACTAGTCTGACTGATGCATTTCTAACTGACAAAAATATAGGAAAAATGATACGTGTGATGTCTGAGACTGGAATGTAAGGTATATGGCTTCCTCTGCACTCCTGATCTCTTAGATTGCTCACTTAGTCATGCTATGAGAACACTATGGAGAAATCCAAGTGCCTTGGAGCTGAGACTTCCTGCCAATAAGTCTCTAAGTGGTACCAGCCAACCCTTCAAATAATTGCAGCAATGGCCAAAACCCCGGATGACACTTTACAAGAGATCTCAAGCCAGAGCCAGCCAGTTAAATCACTCTCAGATTCCTAACCTTCAGAGACTGTATGAGGTAAAAACAAAATGTTTGTTTTAGGGTGCAAAGTTTAAGGATAATTTATGATGCAGTAATAGATAATGAATTCACAACTCTGATTAATAAGAGAAGGAATAAGAATCAAAGAGTTCTATCAGGTACAAAGTAGTGAAGGCAAATTGTAGGCCTGAAACAAATTAGATTAGGGGAAGAATCCAGAAAGAAAAATGAAAAAAGGAAAAGAGCAGCTATCATTTCTAAGTGAAAGCATTGAAGAGAAAAATGCTAAAAGGAAAGATAAGAATATAATTTTTTGTCACTAGAAGTCCAATGCGCTATCTATTGCACCACAGAGCCACCTAAGAGTATCATTTAAAAAAAAAAAAAAAAGCAAGAAGCAACTATTAAAATAGGTAAGTAGGTACAATAGGGAATATGGAATCAACCCAAATGCCCAAAAATAGAAGACTGTATTAAAAAGATGTAACTATACACCATGGAATATTACTCAGCAATCAAAAAAGATAAACTCATGCCTTTTGCAGCAACATGGATGAAACTAGGTGGGTTCATTCTTAGTGAAGGAAGCCAGAAAGAAAAAGAAAAATACCTATGGTTTCACTCATAGCAGGAGCATAAGGGACCAAGTTGGGGGTGGGGGTCAGGGAGGGAGAAGAGACAAACAAATGTTAATAGAGTAAAAATGAAACCAATGAACAATTATAAACCAGAAATAATTTGGGGGGGGGGTAGGAGGGTGAATGGGATCAGAACTGGGGTGGGAAGAGTGCGCTGGACTGTAGTTATGGCACATAGGTGAATTGGTAATGGGAAGCCCATGGGAAATACAACTGAGATGAAAAAATGCACAAAATGAAGAACTATGTAAAAAAAATAATAATAAAACAAAAAAATAAATAAAAATAAGACAGGTAAACAGGTACTAGGAATGAATGGGAGTGAAACCGAGAAAGACAACTAAGATGAGCATACAGGCAAAGAACCAGGGAGGGCAGGAAAAGGTGTGGTGGGAAAATGAAAGGCTAAGACATAAAGCATGAGGGAAAGTAAAAGCAGCATGATTTGGATTTGGGATAAATGGAAAAAGTGCTCTACAAATATGCAAATACTTCAAATGAATAATCTAAAATTTTTTGTACCAAAGTATATTATCTTTATTTCAATGCGATTGGGAAATACTAGTTTCTCCGGGTTCCAGTAATAATTTCTCCATTTTCCATGACCACTGTATTCAATCTGATGTTTAATGTTCATTTGTTTAATTCCTAGCTTAAACTGGACTACATCTGTGCCAAAAACATGAATCATTCTAGTACAGATAAATATCTCTTGACTATAACTTATTGATACACCCCAAAAGAAAATAATTTTATACTCCATAAGGTAAAGAATGCATTTGTTTAGTGAAATTTGGTTCTTCATAATTATTTTCAAATGAAGTATCATTTGGTGTTCCCTTTTTCTCTGATATATCTTCATAGTTATTTCTTTCTTTCTGTTCTGGCTCAAATCTGAAAGCTAGAGAGGAATAACAAATAATTAGAAAGATGCCATATGTGATAAAATACAGATAAACTATATGCCAGGTTAGAGTTAGTCCACATTCCTTTTGTCACTTTTACACTTACCTTTATGTCTTACTTAACTGAAACCATAAATGGCCCAAATTTCTGAATTCCTCCTACTTTTCCCTACCATGTTTCGTTACTTATTTTATGAAAGGCTCTACAGGACCTGGGTTTGAGGTCTGCTATGAACTAGCTGCATAACTGGAGCACATTATTTAAAGTCTCCAAGTCTCAGTGTCTTCATCTGCAACATAGGGCTATTAGCACCTACCTCATCTTCTTTCTGTGAGAATTAAATGTGATGGCATATGGAAAGAACATAGACTTTAGTTAGTTTGGCATTTAGTTAGTGCCCCAGAATTAATGATTAGCAAATAGTTCTTTATTCATGAAGAAAAGCCTTTTCTCTCTTTCAAGCTGAAGTTTCCAAATCTTCTCTGAATTGGATTTTCTCTTGCTTCTGGAAGAAGGGAGACATATCTTCTCTTTTCCAATGCCAACATCTTCAATGTACTAACTTCCACAGACTTCAGTTACTATGCAAACGTCAACTACTCGACAATTTTCATTTGCTCTTAATGTTTTTTCTAATTACCATGCTATACCTCCCCTTCTTTTCACAGATACCATTTTTAAATCAGTAATTTGTATTCTCTGCTCCATTTTTGTACACATTTTTCTTTTATATATCTTTAAGAACCCACTGTGTGCTGAGCACTTAGGATTCAATAGTGAACAAAACTAACAACACCAGGACCTCTAGGGAAGATAGTTCCTTAAAACTGTTCTCCAATAAAACCATGAAGTGGAAACCCTGAGTCTGTTTTGAGGAACAGGTAAGAACCCAGTGATGCATGTTTGTTATGAGTGAAGAGAAAGTGAGATGTGAGAAGGGAAGAAACCAGGCCAGACCAGGCCAGGGTCATAAGGTCATGATAAAGTTAGGGTTTTAAGTGAGGTAGAACTAAGATAGTCATGATTGAGAGTATGGATTCTGGAGCTAGCTGCTGTCTCAATTCAATTCCTGGCCCTCACAGGAACTGACTGTGTAACCTTGAGCAGGAAATCTGGCATCTTTCAGTTCATCTGTAAATTGCAGATAATAGGAGTTGTCTCACTAGGTGATCTTAACGGTCAAATGAAAGCACTTTAAGACAACACTTGCACATAGTAATTGTAAAAGAAGAGTTAAATAATTGAAAATTGTGTTGATTTAAATTTGTAAAAGATAGCACTATCTTGTTGTTTGGAGACTGTACTATTGAAGTATCAACAGTTCAGAGGCTATTGCAGAACTCTGCAGAGGGATGATGGCAGCTTGAACAGTAAGCTGGAAATAAGTAGGTAAGGCTAGTGACAGCTAATATTTATGGGGTGTATACCATGTGCCAGACACTAATATAAGCTCTTTACCTATATCACCTCTTACTACCTCACCATAACCTATAAACTAGGTGCTCCTGCTATTCTTATCTAGAGATGATGAAACTTGAGCTAGTGACTTGTCCAAGATCACACAGTCAGTAAACATTAGAGACCAAGTTAAAGACCAGATAGTCCAAATCAACACTCCAGAATTATAACCTCTTTGGATTACTGCCACTAACCAATGACAGCAGGATAAAACTCATAACTGAGACTGTCCAGTAGGCACAAGAAGGCCTTGGTTATGGTAAAATTCTGCTATTTCTGGGGTATGATGATAAGCTGCTTTAGCCTGTTATCACATTCAGCTCAGTGTTGTACAATAGTGGTATAAACTTAAAAAATATTTCTAACATTTTTAGGGCATTTATTTTGCCAATTTGAGTTTGCTTATTGAAATTTATTATCAAAACTATAAGCTATGCAACTTTTAAAAAGAAGGTTCATTTAAAAAAGCCATATAATTAAACCCTAAATAAAACAAATTTCTGCTACTCTCAATTAACAATCTTCATATAAAGATAAAACTGACTTGGCAAATTCATGCACACACATACATGCATGCATATATACATACATGTGTATCTATATCTATACCTTTATATATACTGTGCTCAATGCTGAAATATTAAATGCATAAAAATGTGTACATGTACGGAATGTATCAATTTTGTACAAGAAATTCCCGTGAGGTATTTACTAAATATCACCTACTTTTGAAGTTAGCTGAAGAGTTGCTTGTAGCCATTTCCTTCCAGTTGGCAATATACCTAAGCACATTGCATGGACATTCATAAATTAAACATATTATTGGTAAACAATAAATTGATTCATTAGTACATGCTTAAGCTACGTCTGAAATTCCACCTGTTTATAAAATTCTAGGTTAGTGGTGACAAACTCACTAGTACAAATGTTACTTATCAGGACTTTACCATCTGCACCTAAGTATCTCTCATGTAACAAAGACAGTCCCTATGAGCAGGAACTGCAGGGGGAACAGGATGATGCCCACCATCTCCCGTATCTGTGTCCTTTGGCCTCCCTCCTGCTCACCTCCCTTCCCATCCTACCTACAGGATCATGTCATCATCCAATATCTTAGGATGTTAATTAACTTCTAACTTAAAAGAATGGACAGAAAACTCTCTGAGATGGAAGAAGTTAGGTGAAAAGGACAATACATTTTCTCCATGGTCCTGGATCAATTAACTGATCTATTGTCCTGGATGTCAATGGAAATTTAAAGTGTGTGGCTTATGATCTTATTAGAGTAACATCGCTATCATTTCTGTGTCTGTTAAACATAAGAGATTACAATCAAGTAGGGCACATGCAGCAAACACCTCAGATCCCTAAACAGACCAAAGAGGGAGAGAAGAGCATTCTGAAGAGAATATAAAAGGACAAGTATGATGGGTTATGAAGGGTGCACTCCAAAGACAAGTTTCCTGTGACTTATTCTACTTCATGTTAGCCTCTGTATCTTCCTTTCCCAATTCTTCCTTCTAACTGCATCAAGACATTAGGTACTGAAAAGAGAGCTAGCAGAGAGGAAAGAGGATTAAAAATGTCACATAATTCAAAAGCATTTCAAAGTATTTTTTCCATTTGAATTATGTTTACGTTTGTTGACTTTGTGTTCCTAAAGGATGTATTTTTTTTCTTGTAATTGTTACAAGAAACAACATACTAACCAATTGAATTTCATTATAATAAATTACTGGCTAAAGCTGACTTCTTGTTACTGCTACCTCTTGTTCCTCCAAGAACTTTATTCTATGGCCTTAAAAGGGAAACTTCTACATTACTGGTAAATAAAAAGAGGGAGTAAAACAACATGCAGTTTAAATCTCTTCCAGGATCTCTTAGTAGACAATTCAATAAGGTGTGGTCTTAACTTAGGCAGACTCTAAACTTCCAAGGGTTGCTCAGGAACACTATTAAGAGTTAGATGCCTGGGCCCTCCCTGGTGGCGCAGCGGTTTAAAGCACAGCCCTGAGAATCTAAAGCCTAAAGCCACTTCGGCATGAGTTCGATTCCCGTCTGCCCCGGAGGTGACCACATGGCGTAGCAGATCTCTCCTGACCCGCTCGCTGCTCCCCTCAGCAGTGTACTTCGTCGATCTGCCTGTTCTGTTCCCCACTCTGTCTCTGGTGAAGCCTCTCACCGCCCGAGCAACTCGCCTGTACCCCAGTTCTGTATGCACAACTAAATTAATCTTAAAAAAAAAAAAAAATGCCAATCACCCTGTTTGCTTATAACAAAAAGCTTTTGATTCCCACCCTCAGAAACCATGATAGTGACCCTTAAACAATTATATGCTAAGCCCCGACAGTCTGGGGTACAAACATGTGCCTTTTTCAAAGTGGATTGTCGATCTTGCTGTCTGTGAGATTAGGACATGAACCTATTAAATTATTTCAAAACAACTACTTATAAAGAACATGCCAGGAGTAACTGATTTGAAATCTAAGAGTACAAATGGAAGCAGCAGTTTGATGATACCACTGCCATGCTGCTTATCTTTCTCACTAAGCTGATCTTTCTCACTAAGAAATTGTTGGGCTCTTTTTAGATAGCAATTCAGAATAAAGTCTACAATGAATCCTTTAAGCAGTACAAATTTAACATTTTAACTATCTAGGGAAAGTCCCTTACCAGAGAGGCTACATATCACACCTATCAAAGAAAATCAACTGAGCAGCTTCAGATATAGATACTACCCAAAACATACATAGGCACAGACCTCTCACCAACAAGATTCAAGAGATATCAAGAAATTATTTTAATTTCCTTACTGCTGATCACTTGAACAGGTTTTGCCAAAACTCATGGCAATTAGAAAAATATGAATATCCTGTAAGAAAAACATCCATATTGATAGAGACTATCTTCCTGAATATCCAGCAGTATGAATGCCAGTAACAGTCACAGATCTCTGGATACTGAATTTGCAATAGTGCTCATCAGTCACCTTGTGCCAAGAGTGAAATTCTATTTGTCCATTCTTCAAGATTAAAATAATATTGTACTCAGTCGAAGCTGTTGTAATGTGTATCGGAATAACACATAACTTCTTCCTAAGTGTTATGGCATATGTTATAACAATGGGCTTGTACAAAAGCCTTTTGGGAAGAAACTGGTTTATATCACTCAATTTTAGTGTTTAACAGTCCAACAATTGGAAACTGTCCACAGATTTTGTACATATTGATACTCTCCAAGAAATCAACAGCTACCAATTTTAGTGAAAAGAGAAATGTCAGAATGTTCTCATCAAACAAGGCGTTGACAAACTAGTAGAAAATACTAGATGACAACAAAGATGTAAAACGAATGCAGATTGTGGAGACCACCATACACTAGGAAGAAATGCTAACAGAAGTGCTAGTGTGTACAGCCAGCTAACAGGCGGTCCTTGCAAAGTGTGGTCCTGCCAGAGGTAATCAATAGTTTGTGGATAGTAATGCTGCTGAAACACTCTTAAATAATCATGTAGACTTCATTTGAAATTATTTTTTGTCTCATAAATTTCAAATTTCTTGCTTTCTAAGAATTCCAAGTTGGTGTCTAATTATGATCATGCTCAAGTCAGAGAATGAACTGATAGAAGCTTTCCATAAATTGAGACCCAACATGGACACTTTCAGTTAACCTTATCAGGCCAAAGCTCAGTGTATTTATTCCACTCTACATACAGGATATCCCAAAGATCCTATTTCTAGTCTTACTAGTTTATTCTGTTTTTATCCTTTTTCCACAAAGAAAAGCCACAAGTGTTTCAGGGATGATAGCAGAGACATCTTACATAGACTTGAGTAGTTGTTTATTTATTCCTTTTGAGCTCCACAGTTTTATTCTTTTTGTATTCCAGCAGTAACAGAATATAGGATATTGGGTATAGATTTTTTGGTAATCTTTCATGGAAAGTTGCTGGCCCTTTGCTTCAATTAGCCAACTATGCAAGACATCATTTCAAAAGCTAACCAAAGAAAATTCTCTATCCTGCCATTAGAAACTCAACCAAAAGGAAGTATTTTTTTTTCATTTGTCCTGTGTATATTGAAGAGTGTAATTGCTATACCAGTGACAACTCTGATGACCATTTTAGGAACTACTAGATTATTTTCCAAAGTGGTTGCATCAATACACATTCTCACTAGCCATATATATGGCTACATTTTGGCCAACTATCTCTTAGTATTATAACCATTTTAGTGGGAAGCAGGATTTCATTGTGGCTCAGATTTGTATTTTTCTGATGGCTATGTTAAATATACTAAAGTTACTATCACACAAAAATTCTAAAAATATTTTTCAAGGGGTACAGTATGTCACTGAAAATTCAAGCTTTTACTATTTCACACAGAAAGATTAGGGATATAGATATATCCCTATTAGGGGTATTCTCTCTATTATTATTTCCCTACTAGGGAAGTTCTTTGTTATTAATTTCATGTTGTTAGCTATGTTTCTAAATTCCAAAGAAGTTGATTTAGACTAAAGCATAAGAATAAAGTTTGAGAATAAAGAACACATTATTCTAATTTTTTTAACCTTAAGATTATCCCTTATTGTGTTTCCAGACAACAAATAAATATTTGTGTGGATTTTAAAAAATTATTTTTGTGGTGCCAAGTTTCAACATGCGGGTAGGAAATACTAGAATGGAAAATATTTGGTCCCCAAGAATAGCAACATGTATTTACTCATCAAAGTTCAGTGTGTTTGTCCAGTTTAGCACTTCATTCACTTCCCATTCCATCACAGAATCTATTCCACCATCTTCAAAAGCTTTTATTAGCCCTTTGGTTGCTGTGTGAATTAAATTTATAGTAGTGTGACTTGTTGCCTTAGCCTCCAGCTTTCCTGAGTAGTACCTAAATAGAGGAAAGGAAACAAATGTGAATTCTTTGGGATAGGTGCATTACTAGCAGATGCAGTACATGGAGCATGTTGTTATAAGACAATTTACATATTTATCATCTCATATAATACATGTAAACCAAGTTCAATGTGATGGTATCTTCTACAAAAACAAAGTAACTTACTCCAGTACATTAGCTAGAGAAACCTCATTTTGAAATCACCTCTCAGTAAGTTGATTATGATAAAAACAAAACAATAATCCCTAAGTTATCAAATCACTGAATCATAGAGATAGAATAATTGTAGAGACCAGAGTCCACTCATTTTATATGTGAGGAAGTAAATCCTGGAAGGATTGAATAACTTTTACAAAGATGTGAATAACTGCACACAGAAAGAAAGAAGGAAAGGAAAGAGGGAAGAAAATACTAGCTTTTTTTGGTATCAGGTACTTTTCAAACATTATCTTACTTAATTTTCTTACAATGACCATCATTTGTGAACTATTTTTATTCCCCTCTATGATATCTGAGATCCTGTGCTCAGGAGCCCTTTGTTCTTTAAGGGCTCAAAATCTAGTGGAGGATGCAGACAAATACATAGATTACAGCAAAAACTCTATAAGTGATTGTCTAAAATATCTGTGGAGCACATCAAAAGGAAGTACAAATTGTGTGTTGGTATGTCAGAGAAGTCTTCAAGAGATATCTGAGCCAAATATCAAAATAGGAAGATCTGTTGCCATTAAGCTAAGCCAGGAAAGAATAACTTAGGGAAATGGAATACAGGATATAGGTAAAGAGGAGACCCTAACATTCCGGTAATTTGTGTTTTGGAACACCACTTCAATATTAATAGAGAGGTAGGGAAGAGGCTAGAAAGAGAGATGAGCTAGCGGGACTCGTCGATGAATTAAGAGGACAATGAGAAGATACTATAGCTGGGAATGAGAGAAATGTAGATTTGGGAGATATTTTGGAAACAGAAGTAATAAGATCTGATTATCAGATGATACATCAAAGCTTATAAAAGGGAAACAACCTAGGATAACCCCTACATTTCTGACTTGCATGACTAAGTAAATAGGGGTGTCATAAACCAAAGCCAAAACAATTTGTATAAGCCAAGAAGAAACAATTTATATGGTGGGGAAGATCAGAAATTCAGTTTTGGACCTGTTAGAGTGAGATGGAAGTGTCTATACAATTGAAAAAACAGAGCTCTGTTATGAAGATTGTCATGAGAGTAAACAGACTAGGGCAGAAAGAAGAAATAAAAAAGAGACTATTAATTATGTACATTGGTTATCATTGAGAATCTCCCAGCTGGTTCTGTGCTTGCTTCATTAAGTTGCACCATCGTTCTGTCAAAACCCACTGTTTCTGGGTGATGGCATACATGGAGAGTGTTTTTGTTCTTCTAAGCCCATTACTATACTGCAAATGGGTCCCCTGGTTAGAGGAAAAGTTGTATGGAATAAAATAATGATAAAAATAAGACATTCTGAAATGAATGCTATTGCTGACAGAAACAATTCAAGCAGAGAAATAAAATACATATCCAGAATATTTCTTGATTACTGCAGAGATAATAAAGCAATCTGCCACCAGGTAGCCTGCACATTCCATTATTGAGGGCAAAGCAATGGCCTTTGCTCTATATTTATCTGTGCCTATAGAGCCAGAACAGCCATGGTGATGGAAAGATCATGTTTATGAGTATGTACAGCCTCCTTCCCTGCAACTGGACCACTGTGTCGACGGCTTTATTGAGATAACACTGAAGTGATGGAAGAAAGGCTGCTATCCACAGGATGGATCAGCTTTTCCATCTGATTGCTGATTTATATAAACTAATATGTGTCAATTCTAACCACCAACTTTCAACTTAAATTATTTTCAAGTTCCTGGGCCCTCCCTGGTGGCACAGTGGGTTAAAGCACTGCACTAAAGAAGCTAAAGCCACTTCCGCATGGGCTCAATCCCGCCTGCCCTGGAGGTGATCCGTATGGTGTGGCAGACCTCTCCTGACCCGCCTGCTGCTCCCCTCAGCAGTGTACTTCTACCATCTGCCTGTTTTGTTCCCCACTCTGTCTCTGGTGAAGCCTCTCACCACCCCTACACCTTTGGCCTGTACCCCAGTTCTGCATACACAAATAAATACATCTTTAAAAAAATATATTTTCAAGTTCCTGATCAGCTAAGAAAAAGTGTATAAGTTCCCTAACTCCAGCTATTTCCCTCTGAATGAAGTGGAAAACCAGATGTACCATCTCCACTTGTACTCACTGGGAGAACCAAACCATTATTTGGGCCAACTGAGAGATTGTAATCTACTCCGTTTTTGTATGGTGCTGGCATCGTGCAGATCCATGGTGATTTAGACCCAAAGTATTTCCCCTCTGTTAACTTCTCACAGGGGACATCCTATGAAGCCAAAGGTTTGGCAATAAAGAAGAGCAAATGAAGCATGAGCAAGTATTGAAGTCTGAGCCACCTGCTCATGCAGAATACCTTGACCTTCTCAACTTTCTCTGACTCATTTTCCTAAACTATTCTGTACTGAAATGAATCTGATAGATCTCAGAGCAGTTCATAATCACAAAGCACTTGGATTCTTATTGTCAAACATCCTGTATCTCAGTAACAAGTCTGGAAATGATTATCAAATGGAGAACAGCTTTATAAAATCTTACTCCTAAGCCATAGAGGTCTGTATTGTGATCCTCTATTATGACTACTTAGAGCTTAAGGGTATTTAACTATCTGCCAAAACATTCCCAATATTTTTCACACTTCATAAAGCCCAAGTGGTATGGCAGCTGGGTCACATTATGGACCAGTTATCTTGTTCTTCATGCACCATGTTGTAGTTCAGCTAGATAGCCTTATTAAGTTGACTAGTAAACAGGTTGGAGCAGCAAGCCCAAATGTGGAATATTTTAACTTCCCTATGCCAAGAGGCCCTCTAAGTGTAAGTTTTCTTAGGTGGATGGTGCTTGGTACAACTTCTTTGTCACTTTAGAAAGGATATCTGTAATATGTGTATGCAGCAGCCCCTAAACTTTTTGCAAAGTTTTTATTGGTTTTGTATCACAATCTTGACAAACTCTTACTAGTTTCAGAAACTTTTCTGTAAATTCCTTAGGATTTTAACCCTAAACAATGATGTCTATAGTGAATACAGTCTAATGGTTCATCCTTTCTAATTTCAGTGTTCCCTCCCCCAAACCACTTTCTTTTTCCTTATTCATTGGCTGGGATCGCTAGTACAAAGTTGTAAAGATGTGGTAACAGCAGACATCTTAGCCTTGTTCCTGATCTTAGAGAGAAAGCATTCAGTATTTTGCCATTAAATCTAATGTTAGCTGTAGACATTTTATAGATACCCTTTATCAAGGTCTTCATTTCTAGATTGCCAAAAGTTTTTATTATGAAAGGTTGTCGGATTTTTGTAAGCACTTTTCCTATATTGGATGATCATATCCAACTTTTTTTTTTTAATTCTAATTATATGGTAAATTGTACTGATTGATTTTCAAATGTTAAGACAACTTAATATTCCTGGGATAAACTGTACTTATTTATGATATTATTATCCTATATCTGTGTCCATGACAGATATTGCTATTTTCTTGTAATATCTTTTTATTCATTTTAAAACCCTGAGTGGTTTTCATATATGATTATATTCAGATATTATTGATGAATGTTTCCTCCTCTTTCTGGAAATACTTGTGTAGAATTTGTAATACATCTTTCTTAAATGTTTGCTAGAATTCACCAGGGTATTCTTCTGGACATGGAGTATTCGTTGTGGGATTTTTATAATAAAAATAAATTTACTTAATAATCATAAAACTATCCATGCCATCTTTTGTGTGTGTGTATCAACCTTGGTTTATGTTTTTAAATGAATGTTTCTACTTCACCTAAATTTTCAGATTTATGGGTATAAAGTTGCTTGCAATATATTTATGTTGTTTTGAATTGTAGGTATTCCTATAGTATATCTTTGATATCATTTCCAATATTTTTGTTTTATATGCATTCTCTCTTTTAAAAAAAATACTTAGGGATTTAAAAAATATATTGCTTTTATCAAAAGAAACAATTTTTATAACTTTTCTCTGCCAGTTTTCTGTTTGCAATGTCATTGATTTCTCCTATAGTCATAATTTTCTTTGGGTTTAATTTTCTTCTTTTATGGGTTCATATATTGAAATTTAATCGCTGATTTATGATCTTTCTTCTTTTTCAATATTTGCACTTAATGATATAAATTTTCCAATAAAAATGTTTTAGCTAGACTCTTAAGTAAAAAATATTTCAAATTTCCCTGTAATTTCTTTGATGAGTAGATTATTAAGAAAATGCTATTTAATACCCAACAGATTAGAAGTTTCCAGAATTTTTCTGCTATTAAGTCTGCTCTGTTTTTTAATTTCTTTTTAATTCCATCATGATATAAGAACTTTCTTTTAAATTTGTAGGCATTTGATTTATGGCCCAGAATATGGTTTGCATTGCTGAATGGTTTATGTGCACTTAAAAGCTAGATGTTTTCTATTGTGGGGTGTAGCACTCTGTAAATGCCAATTTAGTCAAATTGGTTGATAGCATTGCTCAAATCTTCTATATTGTACTAATTTATTGTTCATTTGTTACATCAACTACTAAGAAAAGTGTTTTGGAATTGATGATTATAATTTTGGATTTATCTGTATCTCTCTTCAATATTATTTATTTTTGTTTCATGTATATAGAAACAGTTATTAGGTAAATAAGCATTTAGCATTGTTATATTCTCTTGATGAATTTATACCTTATTTTTTTTGTATTATCTTTTCAAATGATGTTATCTTTATTATTTGAAATTATGCCTTTTATTTTTAGAAAAGATTTTGTATACTAGAGTTTTATATTTTTGTATTCCTTTAAATGTTCTGTAGCTAAAAGTGGATGACTGGATTAAAAAGATGTGGTAAACATACACAATGGAATATTACTCAGCAACCAAAAAAAATAAACACATGCCTTTTGCAGCAACATGGATGGAGCTGGAAAAGATTATGCTTAGTGAAATAAGTCAGAAAGAAAAGGAAAAATACCGCATGATTTCACTCATAACAGGATATATGGGACCAGGCGAGAAAAAAATAATAATGAACAGCTATATACCAGAGACATTTATGGGAGTGGAGTGGGGAATGGGATCAAAAACAATGGGGGGAGGGAAATGCACTGGACTATGGTGATGGCACATGGGTGATTTTGTGATGGGAATACCACAGGGATTACAACTGAGGTGGAAAAAGGCACAAAGTGCTATAAAAATAAAATATTATTTAAAAAAATATTTTGGAGCTTTTCTGGTAAATAGTCAAGGAAAATTGGAAACAACTTTATTTTAAGATATGCTTTTAAGATTTGCTTAATAAATCTAGAGTAACTAGTGTAATCCATACAGGATAATTCTTAGGGCAAAAGGTATAGAGTGGATGTGGAGAGTGAATTAAAGTTATTTGGCATACAAGAGTAAATGCAATTTTCATATATAATGTTCCAAAAGGCTGTAATTTCCTAACAGCTATTATATCACAGAGAGTAACAGTATTTGGAACATAGTTGGTGCTTATTAAATATTTACTTTCTCTCCTTTTTTTTTTCTAAAGATTTATTTATTTGTGCATACAGAACTGGGGTACAGGCCAGAGGTACAGGGGCGGTGAGAGGGTTCATTAGAGACAGAGTGGGTAGTAGAACAGACAGATCATCAAAGAACACTGCTGAAGGGAGCAGCGGGCAGGTAAGGAGAGGTCTGCTGTGCCATGTGGATCATCGGGAGTAGGAGGGGATCAACTCATGCGTAAAGTGGCTTTAACCTCTCTGTGCTGTGCTTCAACCCACTGAGCCACCAGGGAGGACCCTTTCTATGTGTTTTGTTTTTAAAGATTTATTTATTTGTACATGCAGAACTGGGGTATAGACCAGAGGCTCAGGGGCGGCGAGAGGTTTCACCAGAGACAGAGTAGGGACCAGAACAGGCAGATCGACAAAGTACACTGCTGAGG